AAAAAAAAAAAAAAAAAAAAAAAAGGAATCATTCGTGGTTTTTGTGATTGGGCGAAGAAAGAGTCTGTTTGATGAATGGAAAAAGGAGTACGTACATTTCTAATCCTCATCTTCTCCATCAATCTTCCTCTTCACCTCACACCCTTCAAACTTCAATTTCTCTCATCTTCAATGCATTTCCATTTTCTTGAAACGTGTTCTTTCCTGCCATTCACTCAATTTTGATTTTTACTTCATCAGTGATTTCTTTGTATACGCATAGAAGTTGAGGCCCCCAGTGATTTTCTCCAGTTTCAAGCTCGCTGCCTCCGCCTCCGCCTCCATTTACGGTAAAGCTCTCGATGTTTGTAGATTTTGTTTGGTTTCTGATTTGCAAAATGGGTCTAGAATGCAATGGCGTAGCGGTCAACTATTTTAGTTGCAAGTGTAAATTGATGAATTTGGTTGATTGTTCACGTGTTTTGGCGAATTCCTTGAGGCTTCTATTGTTATATAAGGAAACAAATTTCAAGTGAAGTTGAAAAACAGCGATTGGGTTCGTTATAGGAGATTTTAATTTTTTAAGCCCTTCCTTGTTCCCGAGCTCTGCGTTAATTCTACATCCAGTTTCTTCATATTTCCTTAATTTGATTTTTCGGGCGGTTCCTTGGATTAATAATGCTTCCCACTTTCTTGGGAAAGATTCTCTACCCTTAAGGCATGGAATTAGAGAGCCCATTCTCGTGCTTCTCTATCGCTTCCAAGTGCCTTGCCTTCTTTCAAGTCTCATTGTTTCTGTGGGACTTACAAACTAAGTCTATATTATACTTGCTGGCTACGTTCAAAATTACTTTTCACCATTGCTTTTATTCAAAATTATTCAATGAAATTTTTTGTTTCGTGATAAAAGCAATTACTTCACTCTTCTATATGTTGACTGCAAGCGATGAACTTTATGCAGATGGCAGAGAATGTGGTTGTCGCACCATGTATCAAGCTGCAAATTGGAAGAACTCCCTTCGAAGCAAAAAGCTCCGCACCGTGCAGTTTCAGTTTTAAAAGAGAAGAAAGGTTTACTGATTTTGCCTAGTTGCTTACCTTCAATTTGTATGTATGTTTGTTTGTTTTTTTTTGAATGTCTAGGAATCTTGATAAGGTTAGGAAGTGACTATTAAATTGTAAACTTGTTTTTTATGTGCAACAGTCCTGAGAGGTTAGAGAGAAAATAAACTGAATGGTGTATCGCGATGGTGATTGTTTATGGTTCCTTATTCTATCTTAATGAAAATGTTTATATTACACAATTTTTTCTTTCACGTGAGGCTCAAAAAAATGATTTCATCCTTTTTAATATGCTTTGGTTTGTCTTATTGGTATAAATTGAATGCCTTGTTCTTTTTGGTTCTTCATATGTAGAAAGTACAATTTTATGTTTTTTCAACTTTTGTATTCTAGAAAATCCTCTTGTGGGAGCTATAAGTTCACAAGGATCTCAACTTGGAGAAGGCGTGCGCTTAGTGGTTTTCGGGGCTCAAACTTAATTGTAAGTCCTGCTCCCAGGAAGATCTTCAGAGAGCATGCTTGCCTAAGATCTTTGGTAAACGTTGATGGAACAACAGCCTCTGAGGTACTTTTTGTTGATCAATTGCTTCTGATGACCAGTATATTTCTAACATATATGGCTGGAGTAATACCCGTACCGAAGTCTAATCAACCTGGAAATATCATCTCTAATACCAATTCAGCCTCAGATAACCCAACATTTTCTGGTAGGTAAGGGTGCACAGTTTACAAGGTTGAGTTAAGTTGTCGCTAACTAACATAATTTACTGTTTGTTGCTTTGTTATTTGATGTGCATATCTGCACTTTGTTTCTGCTCCCGTTTATTTTGAGGTTTTATATTGTATTTATACTTTTTTATTGCAGTGGCATGAAGACTGATGATCAAATTAATTCGAAGTATGCATTAGATGTAGTTAAAGGAAAGATTTTGGATTTTCTAGATGCTTTTGAACATAGGAAAAGTGTGGAAAACGAGGTACTCGAATTTGCAGAAAGTCATGCCAAGCAACCCCTAAGCTTGAATGCCATTGGTGAGGGTCCAAGGTTAAGGTTGCTTTGGGCTTCTTTTCAACTAATTGAGGAAGAGGCAGGCATCTAACTGTACTGACACCTTTGCCTTATTCTGCATGTTCTTCTTGATCTTTGAGTGGTGTTATTTGATATGTTATATAGCTTTTAAATTTGACATCATGAGATAAATATGCAAACTGGTATTGAAACTTGTATATTGATGGAAAGAGGGATATATTTTTCCCTTGTCATTTTTAGAAGTCTTCAACTACGATAATTTGTTTTCTTTATCATAGTATTTAGTTTTAATAATAGCCTTCTGTTGTGAGTTCTGCAAATCAAGGAAAGTAAGCTTCGGTGGATGGCACTGGGAGTGAGACTGAGAGCACTGTCTGCCTCTCAGCTCAAATATAGGATCCAGCTCTCAGTCTCTTCTCCCGTGGGCATCGGTCGAAAGCGTACTTTCCTTGCTTTCATGGGATTTCAGTTTGCCAAATAATTTGGTAATTTATGTTTAGGAAATTGAAGATTCTCAGAATTCAATTTCATTGTAGATTTTAATTTTTTTTAATTTTTTTAATCTTTTGTTAATTTTACATCTGTTTTGCAGGTCAACAATCTTTCCACTGCTACTATTCAGAACATGGATGATTTGTCTATAATATTTTCTAAATTTATTCAAAAATCCTCTCAACCAGTATGCATGTCTTGGCTGAAAAACGAACTGTCGATGAAAAATAATGATTCTAGTAAGGTACTTCTAGGAATAGATTTTATCTTCCAGATGTGTGTTTTTTTTTTTTTTTTTTTTTTTTTTTTTTTTTCATTTTCTCGTAGATTTACTAGTAAACAATCTTGGCTCTTCCCTTCCATGGATGTTTACAGGCATTTCTTTCATTGATGTCTGAGAAGCTTAAAGCTGAAGACAACATTTTACCAGGAATTAAGAAGTCTGGCAAGGAAGAGTTGTATGCAGAATTGATGCACTTTCTTAGTTTTGGTCCTCGCAGGTATTTTGTTTTCTTTTCTCTTTAAGTGTAGGAAGTTCCTTCACATTTCACGAAAGAAATTATGATATCTAGGCTGTTCTTCATAGTCAAAGGCAAATCAGAATTTAACTTTGGTACTCTAATTCTTGCTTGCTTGGCAGGCCTTCCAACTGTAAGCGTGTTTAATTTGTAGTCAGAATATTTATGTTGTACACCACAATTTTTCTTAAGAAAAAAACAAATTAAATGTGGGATCTCATAAACATAATTTATAAGATATAAATAACTGATTATCGGTTACCTATTTTGTATAAAAAAAAAAACATGTGTAATAATGAAATCTTTTACCAAAGAAACAGATCAACTTTTTCGTGACATTATTATCATCATCATCATTATTAAAGACGTAAATTTAAGTCGATTAACAATACAAAAACCTAAAAGATATGAATGATTTAGTTGGTTATGACTAGATGAAGAATATGTAGTCCTACTACTTTAAGAATACGGATTAGTCTATAAGAGTATCACTATTTTTACCTCTATTTTTGTAGGTTAAAATTTTTCAAGAGTTGTGTCCAAACCGTGTTCGAAATTGGAAAGAAAATTATTTAAACATATCTTTTACCGTGTTGCACATTATTGGAGCTTGTCTAGATGAAATTCGTGACGAATCCATGTTTGACATGTCTGTGCTTCCTAGCTTTAACAGGACCATTTTGGAATTTTGTTTTTTTTAGCAGGGATTATTGCTATTATGACTATAGCTTGTTTGTCAAGCATGGGATTTCAATATTAGAAGATTTGCTGATAACCTTTGCTGACGGGATTGCAAGTATGTATCTGGAATTTATTTCTGTCGACAGCAGTTTTTTTGATGAAGTGGATAATATTGGCTTGGCATTGTGTACCTTATCAACACGAGCACTCCAAAGATTGCGTAATGAGGTACTCTTTGTTTTTGTTTTTGATTTTTTTTTTCTTTTTTTTTTTTTTTTTTTTTTTGGCTGTGGTTAATGAATCCTTAGAGCTGCTTTAATTTATTATTTCATGACAAATTTGGGAACTCCAATTTTTCTTTTCCTTACATTTTAGAGCCAAATATTGAATTTTATTTGTCCTCTATTGTCATTTTGGCCAAAATAAACATGAATACTTCAATGTCTTGTGTTTGATTATTTTGTTCCTTTGTAAAATTTTATTCTAGCCTTATTAATTCGTCTGCAATTTCCCTTGTCGATGTTATTCTGCTTTGAAGGTGCATGAAGAATCTTTTCTCTTCCTTAATGCGATTGACCAATTTATAGAATCAAAATGCTTCCTTTCATTTTTTTGCTTCCCTCTTTTAGTTGCTGAAGAAGTCTTTGGAACTTAGCTTTGCAATTATGACCTTGGTTTTATTTTGTTAGATTAGAGTCCCCTTTTGTAGGTAATTTTGGGCTCCTTCTTGCCCTTTGTTTTTGTTGGGCTACTTGTTCTTTTGCCAGGCACCTTTGTTTTATTTCCATCGAAGGAAATTTTAAGGGTGGATCTTGTTGATAGGTGGCCATGAACCAATGGTTGTATCAAAACATCGAGGCAATTGTATCGATGTATGAAGACCGATTTGATCTGTGTACACTTAGTAGTCAACAGATTGAGCTACCAGGCAGTAGACAGGCCAATATTGATAATTGGTGGATGAAACATATCCTCAGAAGAAGAGAGACATTATCTTCTGAGTTGCGTTATGTTGTGATAGACTCCTTCGCCATGCCTGTAAAACGGACCAAGGAGTTGAGAGCTTTAAGGGGATGGTACGTTCTTTCAATATAGTTCATGTAATTCTCTATTTCATGCACACTTGATTGGAGCCCGTTTTTATAGTTCAGATCCTTTTTCGTGGTTTATTCTTAGTATGCTCGTTCACTTTGGTTCATTCATGTGCTTTTCTCTTCTGAGTTCCAAAAGATAAAAGAGGTCAATTGATGACAGTTTTTCATGTTATCTATGAGATGCATTATTCATGAATGAGTTGCTTTGGTTCATCCTGCAGGAGGTATTACTTCAGCCTGTTGATTGAATTATCCGACATTACAATGCCATTGATAAGAGTCGTAATCGATAAAATCAGTAGCGGAATATCGTTCTTTCTCGTCTGCCTGATTGGAAGATCTTTAGGGCTCATCTACACAGGAATCAGGCAGTCACTAAGGTGGAAATGAAGGTTTGATAGTTCTGATCCCTATTTGGTTGTTTCTCCATTCTTTTGGTTTCCTTCACATTTCTTTTCATGTATAAACTTGATTTTTGAAGTTCTTAACAATTTTTGAGATTATATCAATTGCAATATGAGATAGTATAGAATGTTGTTGTTGAAGTACATTTTTGCTTTCCATTGGTTTTGTTATTCCCTAGTCCTAGGGAGCGACTCGATGCTTACCAACTAAAATATATGTGTGGTCTAGCCGTAAATGATTCTTAATCACATCTAGAGGTGGTTAGCAACCTTCTAAAGTCTCAACATAACATATGATATAAGGGTACTACCTCGTGCTTGTACCAACTATAGATTACATATGTGGGCTAGCCATAAATGACTCTCAATCGCATTTAAGACGGGTTGGAGTCCCATTCAAGTCCGAGTTTGATACCGTCATAATTATAGGCACCAAACCTTGACATAATGGGCATTGGTATCATAGACCATTAAGCACTATAGTTAGTCTCATGTCATGCTATAGTATTAGTTTGGTAGTCAACAAGTCATACATTTCAACTAGCAACTAATTATAACTTAGGGCATAAGAAAATATTAAGTTGTGTCATATTAGCCCGAGATGTCTATGGTGCGGGTTGGATTGGAGATGAGGAAACTTTCCCATCCTCATCCTTCTCAACTATGTCATCTACATCTTGGCGAAATTTTTTTTTATGTTCGCAAGGATCGGGGTGGGGATTTCTTACTAGAAATTCGCCAAAAAAAAAAAAAAAAAAAAAAAAAAA